TTTTCGAATGAATGTTCTGTACATTTCAAAATTTGATATGTGTACTCATTTGTTTCTATTTCACAGATTAACTAAGTCTTCATGATTTTATATGCTAAACACAAATATGATGAGATTTCTCGTATCCAACTATTTGTGTTTATATTCTGTTTCGTGCAATGCTAGCCACTGATATTTGAAATTGCAGATTATCAAGAAGAGTCCTCTTTAAGAATTCGAAACGCAGTAAGACTTAAATATGTCATCTATATAAATAACTATATAATTTTTATGCTTTTTTAAATAAAAAGTACGCAGTTCAGTTTATTGTTAGAGATCTAGTCACGCGTACTGTGACGAAGTAACCTGCATTATTGATAGTACTATGTGAATTTGCAGCTAGAAACGTGTTCAGATGCATCTTGTCTATGCAAAACAGAAAAGGAAACTACATTTACATGCACGATTGGAATTCAAAAGCATTAGTTGCATATAGGAAAAGCGCGTTTGGATGCAAAAGTAAAAGCAATTGCATTCAAACGCGTCTAAGTTAATATTATTTCCAGGTATGAACGCATTCCGATGCAAAAGTCATACTGTTCGCATTGAAACGCGTTCAAACACCTCTATGATGAACGCATTTCAATGCGTTTGGAGGCTGTTTCAATTCCAGACGCGTTTAAACGCGTCAAAAATGCGTTTTATGATTACATGGGTACTAAATCAATTACTAATCCACACTTTTTATTAAATAATTTTTTCCTATAATCTTAAAGTCCAACTCTTCAAAGGGGCCTCTAGTTTTAATTTATATTTGACTTGTTTTTCTTCCATCCTCTTGATATATAAAGCACTATAGACACACAATATCATATTTTGATTCTTTTCAATAATTCTTTCATTTGTTTCTCATAGAAATTACAAAGTAGAGAAAACAACTAGTGACAACATGTCTCATCAAATATACTTAGGCATTATTAAAAATAAAACCTAATGAATGAACTTGAGAATAAATGGAAAAAGTACAAATGTTGGAAAATCGTGCCGAAGAAAAACGTTCTATATTTTAATCTATGAATGAACACGATTATTAATGGTACAACGAAGTTTTGTTTTGTTGTTCGTGACTTTAGTTCTCTGAGTCTTTTCTTATTGAAATCAATAATTTCCCCATGATCGTATCGATTTTTAAGATATTTTTCATACGTTTATCTGCTCTTCAATCATAATCTTGATAGTCGAATTTGTCAAGCTAAAAATCTTACCCTATAGAAAAGTTTCAATTCCGAAAAGAAAAACATAAGATTCAGAACAAAAATAACCAATATTTCTCAACAATATAATTATGTTAATATACTATTGATACAGTGGTAAAAGTAGATACGTTTTTGAATAATCAAAACGTGGCGTTCCTCAGTTAGTGAATGATAGACAACAAGTCTTACATAATCATTATTCATTAGATTTTAAAATGTCAGTCACTCAATCCTGTGTGATATCAGGCGTTATCGTAACATTTTCTTTTCTAAATTACTCATTCATATTAATATTTTATAGATAGAAATAAACAAAACATTACATATTCTTTCTAATAAATACAGAGAAAAAAATAAATTAACGTTGAGTTATGTATATGATTATCCTGACTGATATTGACCATTTCTGCTCTGAATTTTGTATTTTTTTGGAATTGAAATTTTTCTATAGGTTAGAATTTTTAGCTTGACAAATTCGACTATCAAGATTATGATTGAAGAGCAGATAAATGTATGAAAAATATCTTAAAAATCGATACGATCATGGAGAAATTATTGATTTCAATAAGAAAAGACTCAGAGAACCAAAGTCACGAACTACATAACAAAACTTCATTGCACCGTTAATAATCGTGTTCATTCATAGATTAAAATATAGAACGTTTTTCTTCGGCATGTTTTTTTCACATTTGTACTTTTTCCATTTATTCTAAAGTTCATTCTTTAGTTTTTTAAAATAGTATCAAAGTAGATTTGATAAGTTGTTTTGTCAGCCGTTTTTTTGCTTCGTCAATTCTATGAAAAAAAATTGAAGTAAAATAATATTAAAATATTAGGAAATGAGTAATTTTTTAATATTTATTGATATGTTACGAATACATAAGATAACATTTTTACAAAAATTTTTAGATTTATTATAAAATCAAACGATATAAAATTTAACTTTTTTATCTCTATAGATTAGATTTCATATTTAATCAAGTTCTTCTTTTCCTTTGAATTTGTAATGAGATGTTTTTACATATAATGACGTTTTTATTCAGTAGATGTTTTTTTAATCTTTATTCCATATAAAAAAGTCTATTCTATAGTCGAATGTTATATTTCTTAAAAATACAAGTTTTTTCTTTCTGTAATACATTAATAGAATACAAAAGAAGAGATTTTTTTATTTTAGTATTCAAAAATAAAAAGATAATTCAATTCTATTTTGTATTATTAGAATTTTAACATGTTCGGTCCAATGTGATCTACTGATGAATCACATTATATTTTAAGAAGAAACTATATAGAAAAATACTTTATCTTGCCTTTTTAAATGTTTTGTTTATTTAGTATAAATCAATTTATTTTTTCTTATTTGATCTTTTTATAATTTGTTCTTTGTAAATAGTTCAGTTTTATACACTGCATCTTGGAGTGTATTTTGTATTCTTCATACTAAAACATGTCAGGTAATAAAAAGATTAAATAAGAAAAAATATTATTTTCGCAAAGTCTAAATTTGATCACTTGAGATTTTGTTAAATTTGAAAGGAAGAAATGCAACTATAAAATAAACGGTCTTATGTAAATTGTAGAGCTTTCCACATGAGCTACCTAATTCGACTTGCAATATAAATGAATTATCAATTGTCTAATATCATTTTGAAAATAAATGAAAAAGACGCAACCCACACTTGCTTATAGCATAAAAAACAAATTATAAATTATAAATAACAGAGGACAGTCTTATAAGTGCGGCAGAAAAGCAGAAACAAAATTTTTATAAATTATGAATTATAAACGAGATCGACAGTTCTATAAATTTCGCAGGAGAAGTACGAAAAGCTCACAGAGCGTAGGTGAGGATGAAGGTGAGATGTTCAATTATAGGGGCTGTTTCATCTCATTTATAAATTATAAATTATAATTACTTTTGTTCGATTTGTGTGACATTTGTCCATTAGTCGTGTCTAATCTATAATTGATAGTTAAAATTTTTTTTGTGCCGTACTTGACTGAGACATGGTTTTGAAATTTTCATTTATATTATAAGTCGAATTAAGTAGCTACTCGACTATTCATTATGGCCAATCGATTACTTTTTACAGCTTTTTGTATATGTTTAGTTTTCATCGTTTTTTAAATACATTCAAAATAGTTTTTGTATCTAGTTATATATAGTTTTGTAGAGAATTTTAATCACCATTTTTTGATGAAAAGAAGCGTTTTGATTATGGAGATAATAGAGGATAAATGTTAAATATATTAACAGTCTAATTTATTCTGGTCTATCCGTTAGATCCGAATGATGATAGTCTATGAGTTGCTTTTCTAATCATTTTTTTTGTTTTACTAATATATCTAAAAAGTGTCTGAAGATGAAATCTTTTCATTATTGTTATTCTATTTATCGAAAATTTCTTTTTTTTTTTTCTTCAATATAGTTTTATCAATATAATATATATAAATAATTGTTGATATTTAAATGTCATCATCAATATTAACAAATATTCAAAATCAACTTAGTTTATATGGATATCCAATTTGTTTGATATTAGGAAATATTGGTAATATATTTATTGTTATGGTTTTTATTCGACAACGTCAAAATGCCTGTACAATATATATATTAACTTCAGCTATAATGAGTGATCTTTATGTAAATTTTAATGGTTTTGTTCAATTATTTCCATTTTATTATCGTGATGAAACACCATTTGAATTTTTTTTATGTAAAATGCGTCCATATTTAACAAATATTCTTGGTCAATTAGGTAATACAATGCTTATTTTAGCTTCTATTGATCGCTACATGATATCACATAGAAATGCTACTATTCGATCATTAAGTACACCTAAAAGAGCAAAATGGCTTATTTTTTTTGCTATTATTTTTTGGTTAATTAATTGTATTCATATACCAATAATGCAAACAATAATTAATGGAAGATGTACTACATATGGTATTTATACAACAATTTTTTCAATTTATTCAATAATATTTGTTGGTTTAATTCCACCTACTTTATTGATTATATTTGGTAGTTTAACTTATCATAATATGAAAAAAAGACATATTCGTATTCAACCAATTTCAAATAATATAAATGATCAACATATTTCAATTCAACGACGAGATAAAGATTTATTCATTATTGTTTTATGTGAAGCATTACTTTATATAATAACAACAACTTTATTTCCATTAATGCTTTTAGAATCAATGATTAGTCAATATATAATAATAAATAAAAGTGTTCAACATTTACAAATTGAAAGTTTTTTATTTAGTATTGTATTTATATTATTACTTTTGAATAGTTCATTACCTTTTTATATTTATTTAATTGGATCAAAATCATTTCGTAGAGATTTTAAACAATTATTTATAGATGGTTATCAAAAATTAAAAAGACAACAAATTGTTCAAATTGCTTTAAGAATATAAGACACAATATGTTTATACAAAGAAATAATCGTATTTAATTGGAAAAACTTTATATAATTTGTATTGTTGTTGTGCGTGATTGTTGTGCTATTTATAATCAAATATAAAAGCAGAAAGAATATCATTGAAATTATTATTTTATCTAATCGATCAATTCGATAGATGAGATTTATGACGTAATGTTAAAGATCCATATCAGGGCAACTTTTTCACAATGGATGGCACAAAATTAATTTTTTACAGGAATCAATAAACTTTCAATTGGCTTATTTTCCTTTTGTTTCTCTATAATGAACAGTTCAGCAGTAAAAACTTTTCTTTCTTTAACTAGATATTCTTAACGATATCATATCTGGATATCTTTAGTATTAATTCATTTGACTGTTTGTTATCCGATCAGATAGACACCCTGGAAATTGCGTGTTTTCAATAAAATTGCAATTTTTAGTGGATTTTTCGGTATTGTTTTCATCTGTTTCCAAAAACACATAAAAAGTCATATTTATATTGAATTTTTCTACTTTTTTCATCTTTTTCTTCATTGTTTTTTCTAGTCAGTTTTTTTTCTCAACTTTCTGGTCATAAAAGTGATTAAAAGGTCATTTCAACTAAAAATCACTTATTGTAAGTTGTAGAACATGCAAAACTCGAGCAAAATATTTTTTTTTACACATGATTTGATAGAATTTGACAAGCTAATTAAGAATAGATACATTTTTAATTCTTTTTGAAAGGATTCTGATATGAAAACTCGACTTTTTTCGATTATCTTGATTGGTCCATTTGTTCTAAAAAACTTTGATACCGAAAGATCAACATATTTTTAAAAATTTTTCTAATTTTATCAAAATTGTTTCATTCCAGTGGAATTTTAAAAAACAACATTCAGATTCATCATGAAAAACCACGTCGATTGCATCTATTTCTGACTTATTTTTTTGATACTTTTTAGTAAAAATATATTCATAAAGTATATGAAGTTTGAAAGTGTGAAACACATTAGAAATTGAAATTTTATGGTTTTTTGTAATGCCATAGAGAGTTTTGCTCCTCAAAATATACTGGAGATTTATATACCATTAGAATCGTTAGAAAATGCGTTTGATAAATATACCTTTGTTTTTTTTCAAAGTAATATTTTATTGAAGAGAAATATGTTCATTTTATAATTCAGACTAAAAATAAGAAAATCATTTTTGACTATTCACCTCACTTTCCGTTTAATCTTTCTTAAAATACACTATAAAACATAATGGTTCTTAATGAATCTAATCGATATAGTTGGAAAGTGTATGTCGAGTATTTGTAAAACAAGCGAACACCCACGAACATCCCCAAACCGAGAGCTGATACTACCAGTAGATAGAGCTCGCCGAGTTGACTCCACGGATACTCACGAACACCCAAAAATAGCTGAGCATCAGAAAAATTTTCCCATCCACACTGAGGGTGTGGGTGTGGGTTTTGGTGGGATGTGGGTGTGTGGGTGTGTGGGTGTGGGGTGTAGATGCCGATATAATGAAAGATAAAACACCCACCCACACCCAATTCAAATGATTGAATTTAGATCTGAAATTTTATTCATACATATGTGAATATATAGCTCTCAAGACTAGCAAGAGTAATCTAAAAGTTTTCGTTCAAACATAGACGTTTTTTTCGAGATAGTAACTTTGTGAGAATTTTTTTTTTAATCATCTTGTAAAACAAGAGTTATGTTTGAAAGCATCTTAATTCTTAAAAACAAACGTTCGTTTTGAGTGAACATTTTAGAGCCCTGTAGTGATCATATGACCTATATAGAGTAGCGGCCATAACTATAAGAACACCTGATGTTTGCTTACGACTAGTCCCTGAATACGATCATTGAAACTTCATTTAAATAGCCTCTATATGCATTTTATAGAGCAGACTTTTCTCTTCAAGAATATGTGTTTCATCTTTATTAGTTCGTTTAAAACTAATTAAAAAAAAAGAAAGTAAAAAAGACATCTTTTCGCTTGTCTAGAATTAGAGGCTCAAGTCATTATTTGAGTTCTTTTTTTAGCAGTTACGAGAGAGGAAAAACATTGAATATAAATCCGTTTGATCAATTTTGGTACTCACTATATGCTTGGATTGGCTTTATATCGATATGTTTCTTTTTACATATTGTTCAGCTTTTCTACGAGGTTATCAATTAAAAATGATGAATATCTGAAGTTTCACGAGAGTGATTGAATTGAACCTTTTGAAACCAGGAAAATTTCGTGTGATATTTGCTAAATAAAAAATAGATACTCCGAGAATTCTAAAGATCATAAATATTTACAGTTTAAGACTATTTTTTTCGTTTCATTAAAATCTATATTTACAAGCTGGTAATTCATGAGTTAGTTCAATCCTAAATTGAAGAGAGATACAGAGTTGTTAGTACTCCGTACTTTGATAGATCTAACGATACAATTCTTTAAAAGAGAAAAATGTTGGACTTTTTGCACTTAAAGAGTACAATGTACGCTGGTTTCTTCTTTTGAATTTAAGATAATTTTACCGATGTCTATTCTCAAAAGAAAAACTTCTGATTTTTTTTTAGACATCTCAATTTTTTCCTATTCCAATTCTTCGTGGTCAAATTCTAACATCTGGTATTCGTTTAGTACTACCATTGGATATTGAATCAGCATGGGAACATGGATTACGTTCAGCTAAAACTATAGCTAGCAATCATATTGAAGTTATTGATTGACCCTTTCACTTATGTGATTCCACCATCATATAGTTTTGTTAATGAAACTAAATAAAATAGATTTTCTTTTTGTTAAAACCTTTGACACTGTTTGATCCAATTGTATACGTACTGTTTATCCTATGATATCTTTAATGGTAGGATTGTTTGATGGTGATGGAACATCATTTGGGTTTCAACATAAAATAGGCATATCTTATTCAACCTATTCACTTTAGCGATCACCTTCATTTTTAATGCACAAACGCGATAATAATAATTTGAACTTTAAGCTAATTCTTTTATAAGAAGATTATATTGATTTGACGAAACATTATTTTTTAATTAGATTCCGATTATCTCTAAGGACATCACGACATTCGATAATATAAAATGAAATATCACTTGAACTCCTTGATAATGATGTTTTTGTTAGTTATAATTTTAAAAAAATAAATCTATTGAATTGATCATTTGTTGGAAGCAAATTAATTAACTTACTATTTTTTATTTTTTCTGATTTATACTACTTTTGTTTCACTATATCGAATAGTTTGCTGCTTTACTACTTGAAAAAAACTTGCTGTTATTTTGCTGATCAAATTTGTACTTGTATCTATTCATTATTTTTACCTTGTATTATCATACATTTCTAATAAATATTCTATTAATGGATTATCGTCATTATTACGTGACATTTTCTATTGTTATGTTATTGGTTAATCTGTTCAATGATTGATCTTCAGAATTTTTTAGAAATATTTCTATTAAATAGGAACCTTCATCAATCAAATCTTTTAGTGTAAATCGACATATCCATTCTATATACGAAGAAAAATTAATAAAGCAAAACTTTTTTCTTATGAATAATTTACTTTAACTTATATAGGTCTTAATGTTGTACCATCATCAATTAATGGTAGTTGTCATGAACATCCAATTGGATTCGATGAAAGAATTTTTGTTAATAAACGGAATTTTCTAATTGTGCATCAATACTAGAGAAGCCCTGAATTTTCTAGAAAATCCGCTCGTCCGAAGCAGTAATGAGTTCTCTTTCAAATAAAAGCAACTCGAACTCTGCGACTTGAAGTATATTAGAAAAAACTTTGTACACGTAAAAGCCCTGTTTTGCATCTTGATCCCTGGATATCTTCTGAATAGTAAGATATAGAGGCGTGAAACTTTTTTTACTAATGTACTTCCAAGAGCCCAACAACTATGCAAAGTTTCATCACTGTCTCATGTACCCTGTCGAAGTTAGATTTTTGAGGAGAACCCTCTAAATGATTCTTTCTTTATAGATCTTCGAAACATATTAAATCGTGGAATTAAGAATTCTTCTATTTGAACTAACCAAAACTTCAAGTTCGTATATATATATATATATATGTATATGTTGAATCGAGAATGATAGATAAAGTAAAATAAATTGTATTTTTAACATTTTATTCTAAAATATTTCATGAAATCAGCTTATCTTTCATATTAGACTGAAAATAGAAGTGATTAAATAATCATTGCAAGATTTTTAAAATTATTTAACATCAATATAACACTCTTTTGATAAATTATTTTCAAAAAGTCCACAAATACTTCATCATTTCATGAAAACTGTCAGTAAAATGGTGAAATATTACATATTTGTCGAAACATAAGTCATGCATCAGAATACATATTACGACGAATTAATTTGATAAAATTCGCACACGGCTGTTTGCTTCGTACAAAATGACATGAAGCTGCCAAGGAAATGGACAATGATCAATATTTACAATCAATTCAAATTTTGCATTAGTTCGTTCATTAATCATCAAAATTTTGCTATTATCACAATCAAAAATTAAACTAATTACATCATTGATTTTCATCTCAATATAATAAGTAGATGTATCTAAATGAGGTTGTCCATTTAACCAAAGAAAGTTATTACTAGCCCATCCATAAGTTGATGTAGAGCTATATGATAAGTTTTGTAGAGGTGTTGATTTAGAATTAATTCCTAGAAATATCCAAGTATCAGAAGATTGTTCAATATATAGACGAATTTTATGATGACCTGATGTGTATTCAGTTTTTCCGCGAATTTCCGTATAAGCAATAATTGCATCATGAATAGCAACTAATCCATTTTCTTCAATTCGAACATTATTATTAAATACTTGTTCAAAGACTTCGTTTGTTTCAATTGAATGAACAAAAACATTCTGCACTAATGGAATTCCATCATCTTGACTAATTCGAAATGTTGAAGGTGAAGTTAAATTTGCTTTTAGATCATCGAGTGATTTTTTCCAATCACAGAGATCAGTTTCAACGAAACTATCATGTTCTCTACCTTCCTTTAGTTGTTCGGATAAGTGCTGAAGCTTCTTTGATAATTCCTTCAGATTAATAGAGGTCTGCTCAAGTAGATCTTGTCGTAGCTCTTGTGCTTTTTGTTGAATCTTGACGATCGATTCTTTTTCCCATTCGTTAATTTGTTGAATTAAAGGATGTGAATCAAAATTAGTTGTTTCTTTATTGAATGTATTTTGAAATTGATTATATTCACTAATGATTACATCCATTTCTTCGTCCAACAAACGACGATGATCAATAAAATGTTTAGTACATAAAGCTTGAGAACAACCTTCACAAAGAGCGGCGGCTGTTTGCTTACAACCATTCACGTTTGCACAATATTTTCGTGCTGAAGAAGACGCCATGTGTTTAATGTAGTAAAAGATGAAAACTAACGATGAAGGTAAAAACAACAATGCAATGTGAAGAGAAAAGTAAAGTCCCTTGTATACAGAATAAAAAAGAATAATATAATAGCTATGATTCATCTATTAAAATACTCCGCATAGTTTTGTATGAATACAAGGTATCATAAAAACAAAAACCAAGGAATGAATATAATGCTCGGTATGATAAAATAGTGTTGAAATAATTCTTAAAAAAGGCTTTCATCAAATTACCATAACATTTAAATTTCATGTGTCGTACTGAATATGATCTTGCTTGACTAGTTGAATAAATATAAAAATCTAGTATTTTTCCTAGTTTTTCATTCTAATGATTAGCAGCATAATCATCTACAAGCTTTCATTTCATTTTGAAATCATTGTGAAGTTTAAAGTCACTAGAAAGATAATGTTGATATCATGAAAAAAGTCAAAATTGATAAGACATAATGATCTAGAATCAAAAAAAGGATCTCAGAAGACTAAGACAAAATTTCTATATTTCACTGATAAATGCTCATTATGACAGTCAATGATGTTGATATAACTAGTTTATTTTCCCGTATTATTTATAATAACTTGAACAAATTATGTTAGCCAATTGTCAAGATGAATTTGACAACTTTATAATGTCATTCTCGTAATTATATCAGTCAATATTGAAGCTAGGACATTACACTCACGTCACCCGTTACCAGATAACGGAGGATTTGTGAGTTTATCAAGAAAAAACTATTTTTCAAAATAAACGATATTTTATAAAGTTTTATTAAAGCCTTGCGGAGCCGAGAAATCCGAATCTGTAACCGGTTTTTCGAAATTGTATACTTGATTTCTCGGTGTGAGAAAGGCTATTTTAAAACACTTGATCGAAAGATCAAGTATACAGTTTCGAGAAACTGATTACAGATTTGAATTCCCGGACTCCGAAAATCTTTGATCAAACTTAATATCGTTATTTTCCCCAATAGTTACTTCCTGACGAAAGAATCAAATTCATACATTTTTCATTACTCGATAACTTTTTTCCCTTGTTCTCGTCGATCTAATTCGCTTTTTTAGTTCTACGAAAATATTTTTATATCAATACATAAAATATTGTCAACACATCATATGACACATAATCAAATTTTATAAATGAACAAAACTTCAGTAAGTTATCTGGATTTAAATGAGTTTACATCATAAAATATCGTACATTTACAATCAGTACAAAATATACATTTTATCTCATTGTGATGAAACCGATTATAATATGATTTCTAACCATTTCAAGAATATATTAAACTATTAACAGCAATATCGAAAGATATTCTTTAACAAGAAAAAACGAAATTTAAAATGAATTTCTTCCCCATTCACATGTATTAGAAAATTATGTTGAGTTGAAAACAATACATTAAAAAAAACTCCATCATGTCAGTGATTTATTTGAAAATATATTTAAAATTTTCAATATTCAGACAATAAAATTATCTAACACAAATTTATAATACACAAGATTTTTTTAATTATAAATAGAGAAATCTTTAGATTTGATGGTAACGATAATATAAAAGAAAATGCTAATTAAGCGGATAAAATGCGTATACAACTATTTGCTTCATATAGATTGACATGAAATTGCCAAGGAAATGGACAATGATTGATATTGACAATTAATTCATACTTTGTATTTGTTCGTTCATTGATCATGAAAATTTTATGATTATCACAATCAAATATTAAAGTAATTATATCATTTGTTTTCATCTCAATACGAGGACTGGATCTATTTAATTGACATTCTCCATTTAACAAAAAATAATTATTATTAGCCCATCCATAAGATGATTTTGAACTAGTTGACTGTTTTTGTAAAAGTATTGATTTCGATGTAATTCCTAGAAATGTCCATTTATCAGCAGATTGTTCAATATATAGACGAATTTTATGATGACCAGTTGTATATTCATTTTTTCCTCGAATTTCTGTATAATTATATGATGTATCATGAATCGCTACTTGTCCGTATTGTTTAATCTGTACAATATTATCAAATACTTTTTCAAATAATTCATTTTCTATTGTAAATATAATAGAAATATTCTGTACTAGTGGTAAATCATCATGTATATCAAATGAAAATGTTGTTGATGATGAATCAAGTTTTGTTTTTAGATTTTCTAGAGTAATTTTCCACTGTTGAAGATCCATCTCAATGAAATTCTCATTTTTTCGATTTTCATTCAAATCTTCGGATAATTGTTGAAGTATACTTAAAATTTCATTATTACGAATTGATATTAATTGAAATAATTCTTGTCGTAATTTTTCTGCTTTTTGTTGAATTTTAACGATCGATTCTTTTTCCCATTCATCAATTTGTTTTACGAAAGGATGTAAATCACATTCTATTGATTGTTTGAATGTATGTTGAAGATGACTATGTTCACTTATGATTACATTCATTTCTTCGCTGAGTAAATGACGATGCTCGAGAAAATGTTTAGTACAAAAAGATTGTGAACAACCTTCGCAATTAGTGGCAGCCGTTTGTTTGCAATCATTAATTGTCGAACATAATTTTCGTGTCGGTAGAGCCTCCATGTCTACGATGATAAAAAAAAGAAGAACGAAAAAACTGATAATACATCGATGAAAACCATATCATAATGTCAATAGAAAAGTTGTTTGTGATTTAGAACAACAACAAAATGTCGGATGCGTCATGTACTCAGGTGTTTCAAGGCGTTTTAGTGAGAATTTACTAATATTAACAAAATAATGCTGGATTTTTATACAAATTTTTTTGTTATGACTAATCACCATATTTTCCTCGGATCTTACCAACTTTCGTAATATATTTTTGAGATAATCGATGCTTACACTAAGACTTTAATACTTCAGAAGGTTACTAAGTGTTATTTATTTTCTAGAAATTGTGTTTTGTTTTGAAAGTGTTTGAATGTGTAAGTCGATGCATGTGAAAGAAAGTTCTAATTCAATTAACAGTTTCAAGAACCTTGGATATGAATGTGAACCTTCTCTGCGCCCACATCCCTATTGTAATAAAATCATTTTTTGTTATGAATTTCCTCTAGTTATTCAGACAGTTGTTGAAGTTCCACCGATAGATCATCTTTGTCAGCGATAATTAATTAAAGGAAGTATTATCGAAGCTTCTTTGTTCGTTGTTGAATCCCATTGTCCTTTCTGTTTAGTATTGGATAAAGCGAAAATTCATAATATAACAATATTTAAAGACATATTTCATTTCCATGGCTTTATTGTATTAAATAGATATATATGTATATATATATATAATAGTCGATCTCTACTATACAGACATATAGTCGAATTAAATGAGTGCTGTGTAGTTTGAACACATGACTTAAAACCAAAAAGTGGTGTGAGACTTTTTAAGGTGCACTCCAGTAGAAATTATAGTTATGGCTATTCACGCAGCAAAACGTATTAATCCATTAGATGATAGATTAATTCATGAATGGAAAAAAAAGTCTAGTTACATAAACGAACAACAAACGGTATAATAGAAAATAAAAAAGTTTTAAACACTAGTAAGATAATTATGTTATTATGCGTGAACAAGATATTTATAAAGACTGATCATTAGTTAGCCATTATTCCTGGTAAACTTATAACAACTATATCATACTGTCTTCTTTTCATATAATTTTCTTCGTCAATACCTAAGTTTGTTTCTTTTATTATATTTCATGTTCAAGAATCTGTTATTTAATACACGAATTGAAAATCGATAGTAGTCCGAAAATTGTCACCTACAATGTACTATGAAAAAGAAGTCGCCTGTTGGAAAGAGCGAATATAAAAAAGCTCGATAAGTTTAGTATGAAAAAAATTTTTTTTTTATTGGACATATATTTCATGTTTATTTAAGTAAAATTATTGTGACAAAAAAATAGTAATGGAACTTTAGTTTTCAAAGGTTTTTTCCCATTATCTGTCTATTCTTACATATTTTAAAATCAATACCAAAAATTATCGATTAGTTGTAAACTAAGTTGATAAAATGCGTACACAACTATTCGCTTCAAATAGATTAAGATGAAGTTGCCAAGGAAATGGACAATGAGCAGTATTTACAGGCAATTCATGTTTCTTATTTGTTCGTTCATTGGTCATCATAATTGTTCGCATGTCACAATCAAGGATTAAACTCACTATGTCATTCTTTTTCATTTCAATAGCATTATTCAAGTTATTTTGATTCCTTTGTCCATTCAACCAAATACTGTTGTCGCTGGACCAGCCATAGGTGGACGCAGAATTGTATGATTGACGTTGTAGAGGTGTTGATTCTGAGTTTATTCCCAAAAGCATCCAATCATCTACTGAGTGTTCTACGTATAGACGAATTTTGTGAACTCCTGAAGTGTATTTAATTTTACCACGGATCTCTCGATGATTTCTTGATGTATCACAAGTTACTACCTGTCCATTTTGCCCAATTTGAGCTGTATTATCTGATGTTTGATCAAATAACTCATTTGTCATTGCCATGATAAAAGAAATATTTTTCAATCCTGGAAAATGTTCATGCTGACTAATACAAAACATAGACGATGAAATAAGATTGGTTTTTAAATCTTCTAGAGTTTTCTTCCATTGATATAGATCTGTCTCGCTAAAACTATCATGTTCTCGAGCATCGTTTGATTGTTCGGATAGTTGTTGAAGTTTTTCTGATAGTTTATTTCTATAGTCAGTTGTCAATTGAAGTAATTGTTGTCGTAATTCCTTTGCTCGTTGTTGAATATTGGCAATGGATTGTTTTTCCCAATCATTAATTTCTTTTATTAATGGATGAGAGTCATATGTTGTTATTTGTTGATTCAATGTATCCTTGATCTCATTACAGTCACTGAAAATGACGTTTAGTTCTTCACTCAGTGCACGACGATGATCATTAAAATGTATGCCGCAAAATGATCGTGTGCAACCTTCACAGTAAGCAACACCAGTTTGTTTACAACCATCATTATTTGCGCAGTGTTTCCGTGTTGAAGTAGATGCCATGAAAACGTTAAAATGAAGAACAGAATAATGAGAAAAAACTGAACAGCACAAAAAAAAATTATATTAGCAAACCAATCAAAAAAAAAGAAGAAGTTGTATATTACAGAACGAAGTCAATGCAACAAAATATTCATTGAGTCATGTTTCTATGGTATTTTTACCTATCGTCGTTTTGTGTTATTATAATAAAACACGCCATAGTATTTCTATCGTATTGACGATTTAGATGATATGAATAGGTAGAACGATATAATTGAAATTCTGACAGAAGGTGGCCTCGGTTGTTAACTGCATAAAAATAGATAAATCGATAGAAACTAGTTTATATTCTTAATGCCTATTGTTTCATGAGTTTTGTTCGCAAAAATTAATCTGAATTAATTTCACGGCCTTCAAAGAGTGTAGAAAGAAGATATTAGATGAGTAATTATAATATCGGTAATGACGCAATAACTATCACGTACTCCAGCGACAAGTCAGAAAAGATTCGACGAATTAATGTCTTTTTTATTTTTATCAAATCCGCCTCAGATTTGTTCATTCATACTTTGTGGGCAAGATCTTTATTTTGTATGTATCAAGTTTTTCTAGAAAAATCAATCTTTGACTGTATCAATAGGGTTCTATATGGGTATGCACGTGGGTTTTGGTGTCACTACGGATGTGAACGTTTGTTCTACTTCTTTTTCATGATGTTTATAGTATATCGAAAACATGTCGCTCTTTTATACTTTATAAACCGTATTAGTTATTTGTTTTGTCACATTGATTAACTTATTATTTTAGAATATTTGTACATAATCCATTTATTTATTACAATAGTAAAATATTCGAACTGACAAACATCACAAAAATGACTCATATAACATCATAGAATCTAGCTAAGTACATATTGATAGTGATGAGATGATAATAATAATAATAAAATAAAAATATTAAGATATTATAGTAGACAAAAATAATATTGTAAATAAGTTAGTTTAGCTACCACATATCGTTCAAAAAAAAATGTACAAGAAAAGGTTTGACAACAGCATCAATTTATTTAGAATAACAACTATATAATTATTGCTGAACCATCCATATGTTAATTTGAATATGTGCGATGAGTTCATTTTAAAATAATCCCAACAAAAAATCTATATATCGACAAATTGTTCGGCACATAGACAAATTCCATGACGTCCAAATCTATATTCGTGGGTTTCTACGAACTTCCGTAACATTTCGCGATTTATCATCATTAGCTATTTGTTCATTTTCCTAAATTCCAGATTGTATTATCTAATATTCGCTCGAACAATTTGTTGATCATAGTGACATTCAGAGAAATGTCCTTTACTAGTAGAAATTTTCCATGTCAGTCAATAATAAAGATCGTTGATGACAAAGTAAGATCAGTTTTAAGATTATATAATGTTTACTTTCAATACTAAAGATTTGTTTCAATGAAATTAACATTTTCATAGCTTTCATCTAGTTTTTCAGATACTTATTGAAGTTTTCTTCCATACATACGCAGACATTGATTCAAGAAGTTTTTGTCGAAGATCATTGAAATGGACGCCTTCTTACAATTGCTGGTATCTTTAATAAATGGACGAAGATCTGACTTGATTGTATGTTGATTAAGTGTATTTTCTAGATCATCAAATCCTCTATTATTGATATTTATTTCTGCACCTAGTAAATACCCGTGATCATTAAAACGATTCATATAAAAAAGACAACATGATCTGTCTGATGACTTGATGAATAAGAAAAAAAATTCAATGAGCTAGTTACCAACTACGATGTTAAGTCAATAAAAAAAAAAAAAAAGAAGTAGTATATTTTTGAAACAAGCGAACGCAATACAACGCTTGAAGAATGCTACTTCATTATAATTATGAAGAGTTTTTACGACAGTAAAAGTATTAAAATAGAATTGAATCAATTCTATTAAATCAAAATCTTTAGTATTCAACTTACGCAATCGTATGATATTTTACACTAAAAGTTCCAATAAAGCGACATTTACCAATAGACAGTGGTGAACATTAATCTCTTCGCTGTTTTATGTGAATGAAAAATATTCTATTGAGTCTGATTGATGATAGTACTTTTTATTCCGACAGAAAATGCAAGTATCAAAATATAAAAGTTAGATAAACGTTGTTTCTGATTTTCTAAATCAACATTGTTCCAATTAGCTTCTTTTTTTTTGCTTTTCATTTTCCATTATTCGAAATAAATCTATTCATCATTATATTTCACTGACACATCACCATATTCTTATCATTCAACTTCAGTTACCATACAATAAACTATCTTCATTCAACATACACAGTTATATCAACATTGCCAATATGCAAGACCTAAAAGGAGAATGTGTATGTGCACATTCAATAAAATATTGTGTCTGGTATCTAGAACAGCTTGTGTATAGTATCAAATAGATGGGGAGGAGGGGAGAGAGAGAGAGAGAGAAGACGAGCGAAATAGAGAAGAAAGTGTATGTGTGCGTGATGCGATGGAATTACCTTTATATCCATATGATTGTGAAGAACATATGAAAATAGAGAATTAGACGAATAAATCAAAACTCGGTCACCGTATAGTATTCACTCTATCTAGCTATAAGCACTATACTAGACAGCAGACAAATTTACACATGATTACAATAGTGCGACAAATTGTATCATTTAAGAAACGATAAAAAACCCAGAAGACAAATTCTAATTTTTCTTCTTGACATCTTTTTTTTCTTTCATACGGTTAGTAATATTTTTTTTTCACATTAAAATTACTTTTATATGTCAAAGAAGAGAGAGAAAAAAAGACGTCAATTTATATGATTGGTCATTGGATGTCGACAGATCGCAAATAAAAAATCAAAGACACATTTTTCTTCTTCTTCTTCTCTCTCTCGATTGCTTCTTCTTATACCATTTTTTTTTTGTATCGAAGAAGAAAAATATCAAATATCATCAACAATATACAAAACTTAATTATGTTTGCAATGGATGATGTTCGGTCAAAGATGATTTCCAGGTAAACTTTCACTATAAAGAATATTTTCAGAATTCAAGGTCCATATAAAAAAAAAGAAACAAAATAAATTTCTCTTAGTTTACTAAAGACAAAAAGAAGATATGACCTTGATATTGGACATCAACTATTGTTATGTGTCCAATATTAAGTTCAATAATGCCCATAGTTGTGCATGCAGGTTCAATAGAAAAATTATATTTCTTATAGTTATACCGATATAACACATGAATCTCGATCAGAATTAACAGATCCATTATCAATATTACTTGAAGCTCGATTTGAACCATGTCAAGTATGTGGTGAACAATCATCTGGTCTTCATTGTGGAGCAATTACTTGTGAAGCATGCAAAGTAAGATTACATATATGAATATGAATATGAGTTATTTTAATTGTTGATTTAGAAATTTTTTTTACGATCAATTAATGGTGAAGATCAAAAATATAAATGTGTTAGAAATAAAGATTGTATTATAACAAGAAATAATCGAACACAATGTCAATATTGTCGATTTCAAAAATGTAAAATTATTGGCATGACTGTTAAAGGTTTTTATTATATTAAATAGTTAAAAATTTTAAATTATTTTCTTGATTATATAGAAGGTACAGAAATACAACAAACACCACGAGTAGCTGATATATTTGCTCAAATTTCTTGTTATGTTTGTCAAGCACCATCAAGTGGTATCCATTTTGGTATGAATTAAGTTGAATTGTTCTTTTTTTTTTATAAATCTATATGTTTATATATATATATATATATATAGGTGCTATTACTTGCGAAGGATGTAAAGTAAGTTAAAAATAAAAGGAAACATATGTATTAGATTTTCATTGAAAATAATTTCTTAGGGTTTTTTTCGAAGAAGTATTAAAGAAAGAGCACCAAGTCGTTATAAATGTATGGATAATGGTACATGTGAAATTAACGTTGCAACAAGAAATGCTTGTCGTTATTGTCGATTTCAACGATGTATTAAAGTAGGCATGTCTGTTGAAGGTAAGTTTAATTATATGTTTAGTTAGAAATTGATAAAAATAATTTAGGAAGTCGAATTGGACGTCAAAGTAATTTATTTAAACATCATATGCGTAAGTTAATATTTAGAATTTTTGTATTAGTTGAATTAAAATTAATTTTGTGAAACATGATCTAAAATGAGATGTAGGATGAAATTTATGATTGCTTTTCCGTGTATTTAAATGCATTGGTAGTGTATTAGAATCAAAATTTTGTGCTCTTGCAGAATATATGCTTAGAATTTTATTGTGACTTTTTATGAATGAATTACAAGTAAATCTTGAAAGGGCTCAAAAAAAATTTCTGAAAAAGCAAAATCTTATTTTTGTGAAGTCTACACTAAATATATAGTACTTGAAGGTGATCTCTACTCTACAACATGACGCGAGAATGGAGAGTTTTGTTGGATCTGCTCGAAAATAGACACATTGCGACAGAGAGTTATTTTGGGGTGAAAAGGTGGAAATCAAAAAGATAGCTACGTTTCGTGCGATAGACTTTATAAGTATGTCTCAAACAAGTTTCATTTGAGGTCTTTTCAAAATTCACTTATAGCTCCATAGTCAAAAGCCACAGAAAAATTCTATGAATATATTTTGAAAGAGTACAAAATTCTCATTCTAATACACTATCAATGTATTTAAATACGCGAAAAATAAAAGTCAAATATTTTATCTAGAAATGTTCGGTCCATTCCTTATATATGAACCAATCTTCGTATGATTAGCAAGAGTAGCAACATTGTATTTCATATTTTAATCTTGTATAGGTATGATGCTTCAAAGAAATGGTCAAATACCAAATGCAACAATGCTTCATCAAATGGTTCATTCAACATCATCATCTTCACGAAATAAAGCATCAAATAGAAAACGAACAATAAGTGAATCAAGTAGTTCTGAAAGTGAATGTAAGTTTAGTTTCAAAAATTCTATTGCAAGATGTAACGAGAAAAATCTATTTCATTTTCTTTGAGTTAATAATATAAAACAGGCGTTCGATTATTTTCTATTTAAATGTCATGTATATAAAAAGAAACAGAGTTGTTCCAAGATTGACTTGGGAAAGAGAGAGGCGACTTCTCACGTTACGAACATCTCTAATAATTTTTTTTTTTTTCGACATTCATCTTCTATCCTAGTAACACAATCTACATCAACTATGATTGATTTCGAAGATCAATTAGATCATCAAAGTAAAGAATTAATTTCCAATGTTCACAAAGCTTTTAAAGAAACACTTGATGTATGACAAAAAAAACTTTTTTTTCTATTCAAATCAAAAAAAAAAAATTTTTTTTTTTGTTATGTTTTGATAGAATTTACCAATATGTCAAGATACTGGTAATCCTTGGTTATCATCTATGAATCAATTTAAAAATTATGCTAATCGTTCTGTAAAATTTGCAACACGTATACCTGGTTTTATGAATTTTCATAATGTTAATGATCAAATACAATTAATAAAATCTTCTATACATAGTATTATTATATTATGTTTACAACGTTTAAATAATTCTTTTATATGGAATTATTTTAATATTATTGATCAAAAATTATATGAACAATTTCAACAAATATTTCCATTTATTGAATGTATACGTAATGATGGTGAAAAAATTCAAACATATATTTATTCATTAAAATTAGATGAAAAAGAATTTTCATTATTACTTTCATTACTTATTATATCAACAAGTAATATTCATCTAAATGATTTTTTATTAATTGATTCAACACAAACAGAATTAACATGTGCATTATGTGATTATATGGATAGTAAACGTGGTACGAAAAGTCGAGATTTTTATACATTAATGTTATTATTACCATCATTAAGAAAATTAAATGCAATCATACAAGATCATATTAGAAATGAAGTACCAAAAAATATTGAATTTCCAGCATTTTTTTCAAGAGTTTATCTTAATGAACAAGATATTGTAAGTTTTATTAATTGATAATTAATTTAAATGTTTCTTTTTATTTGTGTTAAGAATTATCAACAAAATTATGATGGAACAATTGAAAATCAACAAACAGAATTTTAGTACATTCCATCGAACAGTAATCTTTAATCAACCGGTTTTTTTTGTTCGTTTATAACGGTGAAATTTAATGTTGTATTTGTGTGTGTGTGTGTGTGTGTGTGTGTGTGTTTATTTTAAACTCAAATGTCTTTCTTTATTAAAACAAAAAAAACAATTCTTATAATTAAATATTGCTAATAGAAGTACTTATTTGATTTATTAATGAATAATCTGTACCACATTTTTTTAACCATTGAGTATCATTTATAGGTGGATAATATAAATAACAAATTGGATTAACTGGTGGAGTAGAATTATATAAAGATGGAGCTTTAAGTAATGAACCAAGTGTACCAATAAGACTAACAGAGACAAAAATGATGAGAAAAAAACGATCGAGTATTAAAGCTATAAAACGCCATTCTTCGACGATCTAAATAAACAAGTTAAGATGTGAATGAAGTACGATCGGACAACTTGAACTAGGCAAAACCAGTCGTACAATCTGATTACCGACTTCCTCCTTTCAAATCCTTACTATTTTATGGCGTTCTTCAATCGGAAATAGTACTAGAAATTCATGGATTCAAAAGTTGGAATTATTAACCTAAGAATCTTTAAGTATTCAAAAATTTCAGATATGACCAGCAGATCTTAGATACTTTTCTTTCGAGTAAAACAACTTATTGGTATCGCAGTGTCTTATAATCTAGCTTATAGAAAAGGACGAGACACGGAAAAAAAAACTAAATCTGAGTCATTTTGATTAGAATGATTCGATTGTTAATCATAAAAATGAAATATCTGGAATCACAAAACAAAAAACTGAGTCGGCCTATATATTTTTCAAAACATTTTGACAATTTTCATTTTCGTCGAAAATGCGACCATGGCCCCCTCCCCCCACAGGTATGTATCAAAAAATTAATTCAATTAGAGAATCGTTTTTATCATTTCACGATCTATTGTGTGAAGTTTTATCTAAGTTT